TAAATAGGTTTTAATTTAAAAGAAACACACTGAGTCAATTTAAAAAACTTAAGAGCTCATGAATTAGGTTACAATTTGTTTTGAAGTGGTAGTAGAACCAATGTCTTCGTTTCAGCTGCTGAGCCTTCATTTAGGTCTCTGTCCAAATATCACCTCCTCCAGAGGTCCTGCATGATTGCATTTATCTGTAAAATCATCACTCTCTCACTTTGTCTCTTTAGCCTCCTGCTTTGTTTTCCTACATCGTATTCATCACTCCTTGGCAACATAGCATATGCTTGTTTAATTATTCCCTGTAGTAGCATTAAACTCTGAGACGGTGAGGAGTTTGTTCTTTTTGTTACCACTGTAGCTCGACACCAATTTATTGAATGAACCAATGAATGTCCTAGGGGTCTAAGAGAACCCTTGAGTTTTAGTTCACAAAAAATAGCCCATGGGATTGGGGATAAATAGTTAAAAATAAGCTGTCAATCAAATTATAGATTATGTTCTACCATTAGTTGGTTGAACGTTTAAATTTTTTTTTTTCCCTTTATTGATTTTAGAGAGAGGAACGGAGAGGGAGAGAGAGAGAGAAACATCGATGAGAAAGAACATTGATTGGCTGCCTCCTGCATGCCCCCCACTGGGGATCGGGACCACAACTGGGCATGTGTCCTGACTGGGAATCGAACCAGCGACCTCTGGGTGCATGGGTCGATGTTCAACCACTGAGCCACACCGGCTGGGCTGGCTTAACGTTTTTATATTTAGAGTGACTAAGGTTCATTACATTGTGTTCTTCATCACACTGCTATATCCGTATTGTGGACAATTTAGAAAAAGGGAGAAAAACAATTTACAACGTTACGTTCCTATACACATCATGATTAACATAATTTAAAAACTCTTATGGAGTTTTCGAAGATGGCCGCGTTCTCACATGGCCTCAGAACGTACAAAATCAAATAACTTTCTCTGATTTTAAAATTTTAATCTAAAGCTCCTTTTGGACTCTAGACTTATGTGATTTTATATACAAACAAACAAACAAAATTCAAGCCATCGAGTAGCTCATGCTCCTCACACCTAAAGTGTTAAGGGAGGGATTCCTGTGCTGGCTCCTCTGGGCATTTGGGATAAACCCCCTCTGCGACCGAAGCTCTCGTTTCGCCTGATTGGAATGTATTGCCCAGTTTGGAATTTTAACCCACTAAGAAAGATATCAAGAATTTTGAGGTGCTCTGGCAGAGTAATAAAACCTCATTAATTCTGAGTTCACCTTGCTGTCCCAAAAGTTACAACTTCCAGATCACTCGAGTTCATTTTTCTACATTCTATGAACGAATGGGGCCTTATTAGGCAAAATCAATACCGGGAAGAAGTTGGAGGAGAAAAGCCCATCTGCCAAAGATCAGTGCTTTCCACCACCTTGTAGCCTCACACCCGGAGCAGCAGGGCCGCAGGGCGCGCGCCCGAGCGGCTGGGCCCGCACAGGTGTTGCAGTCAGTGGGCCGCTGTCGGGGACCACACCTCTCTGTGGACTCTGTCTTGCTGCCAGGTGACGAGAGTCACGTTTGCTAACACAGGAGGCGGTGCACAATGAGGAATCACCAGCCAGGCCTATGGAAGAACTGCTCCAAATCTATGAGATTTATCTTTGCCAAGAACAACTTGAAAAATGATTCAGGTCTCTTTGCCACTTGTAGTTTACTCAGGTTGTGGCCAATCATTTTGTGTGTTTCACCCACCAGAATCCCAGAGACGGGGGTGAATGATGCTGTAGAGAGAGAAGGAATGACAGGAAAACAGCTCATTTGGAGACCGAGGGGAGGCAGGCGAGGGGTGAGAAAGGCGTTCAATCAGGCCTCGGGGCGGGGCCACCGACACCGATAAGACCATTTTGAGGGGGTTATAGATCTTTGCACCTCAGATGGGGACAGTGCTGTTCCCTCCTCACTCCTGGGCCCACTGATCTAGGGCAGGGCATGTAAAAGGTTTCAAACACATAAACGATGATAATGATGAGACTAATACCGATAATGGTATGTTAACATTTTCTTGAGAATTTATGGAAAGATAACTACGATTCTAACTTTACATGCTGCTATGGACTGAATTGTGTCGCACCCCCACCTAAAATCATATTTTGAAACCCAAACCCCCGATGTGACTGTACGCAGAGAAAGGGCCTTTAAGGGGGTGACTGAGGTCGAATGAAGTCATAAGGGTGGGCCCAAATCCAACAGAACTGATGTCCATGTAAGAAGAGGAAGACATCAGGAGTGTGTGTGCACAGAGGAAAGGCCAGGCGAGGACATCGTGGGAAGGTGACCACCTGCAAGCCAAGAAGAGGGGCCTCACCAGAAACCAACCCTTCTGGCACTTTGGTCTTAGACTTCCAGCCTCCAGAACCGTGAGGAGATAGATTTCTGTCGTTTAAATCAACCAGTCAGTAGTATTTTGTTATGGCCACCTGAGAAGACTCATGCATGTGTTATTTCATGTAATCCTCATTTCAAAATGTATCCAAACTTTCAGGTAAAGAAAAAAAGCACAGAGAAGTTAAGCAACTTGACTAAAGTTGCACAGCTAGTCGGTAGGGAAACTGGAATTGAATCCAAGCAACCTGATTCCAGGGCTCATGTTCCTAACTGCTGATATAACGTAACATACGGTAACATGATTAATGTCCACAGAATCAAAACAGATGCTTTTATCAGAATAACCTATAGCAAGTAGCAAAAACCTACAGCAACAAACTTCCACATATACTATGGGCAATGGACTACTAATTTTATTCCCTTTCTTCCTCCTCTTCTTCCGATCATCCAAACAGTAGCTATTTTATGGAGCTCCAGCGTTATTTGAGGCTTGGGGGATCTGGCGGTAAGCTGGCGAGGTCCATGTCCTCCTGGGGTTTGCAGCTAGTGAGGACAGGCAGCTGACAGCCAGACAGAAAGAGCAGACTGTACCAAGTGCAAAGACAAACATAAAACAAGTTGTGGTAAGAAGTGGGGGCCAGCCCGTCCTTTCCCCCACAGCCAGTCCTTGTGTACACTATGAAGCAGCTGTGAACAGGCCCAGCTCCCACCCCAGTCTCTGTCCAGGCTCCCCGTTTCGTTCTCCATGAAATGAGGCTTCTGTTCGAACAGGCTCTGACATCTTTGATCAAGTCAGGGTGTTACCTAGGCAGTGCTTACCTTGGCCCAGGTATTTTTTCTTTATGGAAATAATAAATGCTAGAGTGAAAGGTAGTCTCTACTTTAGAATAGTCTTAAGTTGTTTTTTTTTAATCCTCCCCTGAGGATATTTTTCCATTTGTGTTTAGAGAGAGAGAGAGAGAAAATCATCAATGTGAGAGGGACACATCGAGTGGCTGCCTCCCGCATGACCCTGACCAGGGCCGGAGACCAAACCGCAACCGAGGTACGTGCCCTTGACTGGAATCGAACCCAAGACTTTAGTCCATGGGCCAACACTCTAACTGCTGAGCCAAATCAGCCAGGGCATATTCCTGATGCTTTATAGTGAGCAATATAGAGGCTGCAGGAAGGAAAAAGGGAGGGGAAGGGATCATTTAACTAGAGCTGAACAGGCCTTAGCTGTGACAGTAACATTACTTACACACTTGGATGCTTATTATATACTATTTATTATAGCTGTAGTTAGACACCACCCGTCTCTCCTGGGGAGTGGATATGAAGAAAGGGGTTTGGAAGGAAGCATGGAGATTTAAGGTCGGCATGAGGAAGGTTTGGGGGCGGGGGTGTGGTACAGAAAGCAAGACTTTGGAAAAAAGTGACAAAATTATGGATTCTGTTTCCCTGGAAAGCTGAATCAATCAGAGTTGTCCTTGGGTGTGGCCTCACTCAGAAGTAGGGTGCACTGGCTCACCACAGGGATCCCTTGGCCCCAGGGGGCTCTGACAGTTACAGGCGGCAGTGTGAAACAGTATGGCTTCACATCCTTCCTCCAGACCCCTGCCGCTCGCTGGCGGCTCTTCCCACTCCTCCCCGTTCAGGGAAGCAGTTTGTGCTGAGAAAATACTTGAACAGCGCCACCCGGAGCCCCACAGTGGGATGGATGAGTGAAAAGTACCAGAGGGATAAAGACTGACTGACTGAGAAGAGGTGGAGCCAGAGACAAGCGGGTGGACACCCAACCTGCTTTTCCGTGTTAGAACGCAAACGAGGCAAGTGAAGACCTACAGCAACATGGTCAGCTGCCTGCATTGTCGGAGTTACGGGGTCACCCCGACTATCAGGATGGATCTTTAAAGCAGAACAGGAGATCTATGAACCTGGCCCACCAAATGACACCAGCCCCAAACAAGAGGACATGAAACAGACAATGACAAGATTGGAATCAACAGCCTGTCATTTTACTTAAAGCCTGAAGTGTGGCCCTGGGAGAGAGGACAGAGTGCAATTCAAAATAGCAATAAGCCAAAGACACGTGGTATTCACTGGCAGCCACCTGTGGACACATTCACAGAGCATCTCAGTCGCTGTAACCATCAGCATTTGAAACATCGTATATGTACAGCTATACTGTATAATTTTATCCACTTTGATTTCTCCTATTGTGGGGAAATGGACTGCCCCAAAAAATCTGTTAGGAAAATTCTAGATGCCTGTGGATTTTTGACATTTGTCTTGGGAACCCCAGTGTCTGAACGAGCCTAAGCAATTAACTTCAACCCAGCTGTGTGTATTCGAACACCAGCAGGCTCACAACCACTGCCTACATCATTCCTGGGGTCACATCATGTCTCTTAGCATCTCGTGGTTTGATTCCAGCGCTGAGAACAAGGGAGCTTTGTGTCCTCCCCCCATATAATGCTGACAGCTTTATCGCTGTCTGCTACATTCTCCTTTCTCTCCAAAACTGGCTGGAGTTTTCAAGGTTCAAAGCCTGAAAAAGTGATGCAGAAAACTGTATCCAACTCTGAGAAACACGCACACAGATCCCGTGCACGGCTTTCTGGCCCATGGAGAGTGGACCAGCCCCCTTACCTTTGTCATAAATTTCCTTCAAGACCCCTCGTTTTATCAGCTCCTCTCTGCTTTGCCTCATTGATATTTTCCTTTCCAGGGCTACAAGCAAAACACAAACAGAGAAGCAGTTGTGAATGGGTAGCAGAAATGCTATTCAAAGGCATCATATTTCAGTATATTGAAATGTAATGCATGGCAAAGCTTCTGTAAATTCTACTTTACTAATATAAGTTCATGATGTCAGCTAATGTTTTCATGATACTATGCTAAGCATTTTAGTCAGAGATTTCATTTAATCTTCAACATTACCTACGAGGTAGGCATTATTATTTCACTTTATTCAACCCCGATCTACGGTTGAGGAAACGAGCAGAGAAGCTCGAAACCTTCAGTCACAAGGTCACCAAGAACAGGACCAGGATTCAAACCAGGAACACCTCCGATCTCCGTCTACCCAGCGCGTCACAGAGCGATTTCCTGAGTGTGGTATTTTTTCATCGGTGGGGCTTCTTTTTAAAGATCTAGTTCATGTAGATTGTGCCGCACTGAGGATTTGTTTTTGCTCCCCAGCTATTACAAAAATATCTCCTAAAGAGCTCTCTGGATGGGGAGTCTGAAGGGCTGTGAGGGGCCTCCAGGGGACAGTCCGCCGCTGCTGTCCTCTCTTGGCGCCGAGTGGGAGCCTCCCAGCGAGTACTGTTCAGTTACCAAATGCGACCCACGAGGGCCCATCACTTCCCTGAGCCGAAAGCTCCGGCAGGTGGGAGCTGCAGGAGGGGAAGGGAGTGTTTCTTCTCGAATCAGTGGGCACGATGGAGGGTAATTCGCCTGGAAACAGTCAGGAGGGGGGCAGTGCGGGAAGCACCAAAGGGCAGGCCTGTGGCGCAGGCGGGGCAGGAGCGAGCAGAGCCTGCTGAGAACCGAGCCGCTGCCACGTCGTGTCTGGGCGAACACGGAGTGCAGGGGGGACAGGTTATTCTGGTTGCTTTGGTCAGTGTGAGGATTTCCACATCCTTTCTGTACAGTTATTCAGGGGGGAAAAGCCAGTTATAAAACTATAAAACAAGGAAACGATTTTATGCAGACAAATTAAGATAGAGATTAATATCTCTCTCTCTCTCTCTCTCTCTCTCTCTCTCTCTCTCTCTCTCTCACACACACACACACACACACACACTAGCCCAGTATAATTTAGTCCAAAGAACACCGATAAGAACTAGGAAGCAAGCAAGGAGACGGACTGTGATTCTAACTTGGTTACCCACTAGCTACGTGACCTTAGTCAAGTCACTTTGCTGGTCTGAAGAAACATTCAACTCCAGCTACTCTGATTTAATAGATCCAGGCTGGGACCTGGACATCTATATTGTAATAAAAAGCTCTCTGGGTTATCCTCAGCCATGTCAAGGCTGAAAATCACTGATGATATATCTTGCGACTTACTAAGGTTATGTTCTAACTCCTTCTGTTAAATTACAGTGAATTAAGGGGTAGAAGACAGAGAGAGAGAAATGTTAGATTAGGACGCCTCGAATATCGCTTACTGAGAACATACTAATGAAACAGACACATACATACATGCCCACAGAAGTGGGGACAGGAGGGCTACAGGGAAGGACCAGCATCAGCGGCGGGTGCAGGAACACTGGAGGAGTGCTTGTTTGGGGATGGAGCGTTTTATGACCCAGACCAAATGACATGCTACCTGGTGTTGGGAAGGCAAAGAGCTGCTCTCCATGCAGAAGAGGAACAACCAGAGAAGACACAGAACTGCATACAGTGAGGTCAGAAAGTTCTGTCCGATGTAAAAGGGATTCTCTTAGCAGCACAGTGGGAAAGACTGGATAGCAAGGGGAGATGGTTGTTTTTTTTCAAATTCCTCACCAGCACCTGAGGGTATTCTTCCACTAATCTTCAGATAGAGTGGGAGGGAGGGAGAGAGGAAGAAACATTGACATGAGAGGGACACATGGATTGGTTGCCTCCTGCATGACTCCGACCAGGGCTGGGGACCGGGCCACAACCGACCTACGTGCCCTTGACCAGAATCGAACCTGCGACTCTTTGGTCTGCCAGCCGACACTCTAACGGCTGAGCCAAATCGGCCAGCGCAAGAGACGGAGGTTTTTAAGGAAGAAATGTGTGTAGGTCTTTTGAGTTTCATGAAGACATGCTTTGCCATCCTTTATTGAACCACACACATTGACCAGATATCTCTTCAACAAAGTAAGGTTTCCAGGGGGCTTTTCAAAACCACAGAACAAAGTGGATGGACTTGGACCCACAGCGCTAAACAAATTACTTGCAGCAAGATGGGCCAAACCCTGGGCTTGGAGGCCCGAGATGGCACGAATCAGTGGAACACAGACCATCTCAGGCCACATACTTAGCCATTCGGACTCCAGCTGCCCCACTGCAGTTACTCACCAACCAGGGACCTGCGCCCAAGTCAAAGTCACTCTGCCAGGTAGGCAGGTGATGGAGACCAAAGGCACAGCCCCTACCTCCATAGAGTTTACAGACTAATGTTCACTTCAGAGTCAACATATAACAGTACTTAATATGTGATTACAAATTGAGACCAGGCCTCTTAAAAGAAAAGGACATGGTTCTACCTGCACTTATGATAAATAACCTCCACACTGGGCCATGAGAAAAAGTTTTTCTGAGGAAGAGACCTCTGAGCTGAGTTTGAAAGATGAAGATGTATTATCACAGCAAAGAACAGTCAGGTATGGGCTTTGTGAAACCCACACATAGCAAGCTGGGCAATGGCTCCTGATGATCAAAACGAGACCAAGCTGCTGTACCTGTGGCCACCAGCACCAGGGGGACAATGGTTCAAGGTGTGTCCAGAGGGGAGGAGGGGCTGGGTCATGCACGGCAATGGGAATAAATGATACGAGTTGAGTATCTGAAAGATCACATCCACTTTAATGCGGAGAATGGACTGGAAGTAGGCCAGGAGTAGGTGATCACAGCAGACCAGCAGGAGATGATGGCAGCTGAGACTCAGATGCTGGTGATGGAGACGGAGTCAAAGGATGCTTTCAGGACACAGAAAGGTGGCACCGTTGCCACAACTTGCAGTTAAGAATTAGATGTGGGACGTGAAGGAAAGAGAGAAGGGTCGAGGACAACTCCTTTGGTTCCCGACCTGCACAGCTGAATGGACGGGGTGTCAATTACTAAGGTCGGGGACACAGGATGAGAATCGGGTTTGGAGGGATGATGGCGAACTCAGTGTTAGTCATGCCTGCGAGGAGACCTCAGGTACATGCTAGGGAAATGTAGTCGGATCCTTCATAAAATAGGGATGGGAGTTCAAGGAGACCGTGCTGCGTGGTACTGGCTATGCTGGACTCTCATGTACCGGTGCTTCTCGGCTCTTCCACGGAGAAGCTGCGGGCAAAGGAGTAATGCCAGGGGCTCCGAGGGCATGACTGAAGCTGCCTGTCCCAAGCACGCCATTAAAGACGTACTGAGTTTTTCCTTAAGAACGAAGGTGGACCTCACATAATGTATCTGTCCTTATTTAAATAAGAAAACAGCCCTACCCACTACCACAAATTTCTTAAGTTTGACTGACATTCTGGGAAGAGATGGCTCATTTATTCTTTGGTTTTGTGTTTTGCCTAGAATGGAACCCCGTGCCCAGAGGGGATACACGGATCATTTGGGGGAAGGGCAGAATGTCATATAATTTAACTTAATCTTTACCACAATCCTGTGGTGTATTATCATCCCCTTTTTATAGATGATGTACCTGAGGCCTAGCAAAATCAACTTGCTCAGAGCCACACAGTAAGTGGAAGAGCAGAAAGAGATGTTAATGCCCCTTCTCCCACAATACCACCTTGTTGTGAAGATGGCTCTAATGTATGTACACAAGGCTCTAAACAGTATCTCATATATAAGGCTCTAAAAATGGAAGGCAGTTTTATTATCAGTTTATTTGGGGCTCAACAGCATGGTAAAATGACATAATTACACTGTATTTTTAGAAGCTTCTCTATTCTAAGACACTTCTTACTCGCTGTCTCTTTCAACAAGGTCTGCACGATCCTCTCCTCTATCCTTCTTTGCAGCAGCCCTTCCTAAGTTAGAGCGAAATGAAGTAGGTTGTTTGGTGTAGAAGGACAACTCAGATCTTGTCTACTACTGAGCCATAAAACACAGGGGAAGAGGATTTAATGTGGGGGGAAATATAATGACTTTCTTTTCACTAACCAAGGCTGGGTCCAATCCTCCCTCTCCAACAAGTTTGGTTTCAGGTAGAACAAAGACAAAGAGAAAAAATAAGCCAAGATATGAAAGCACCTAAGTGTCCATCGATAGAAACATGGATAAGAAAGATGTTCTTATACTACATACTGGTACATTTCTAAAAACAATTTTTTAGCCCTAACATGGTAGTACCAAATATGAAAGGCAGGAATCTGATTACCCCGCAAAATGAAAGTACAGCTCAGTGTCAATGCAACCCTTGGCCCTTCAGAGAAGACCTGTTTCCAGGCCGCAGCAAGTGCAGAGCTCAGACACAGGCCTTCGAGATGGTCCGATGGCATCTGAGACATTAGGACAAGGCCACATCTGCCAGCAAGTGTGCAAAGACTAATTTAGAGACACCAGGTCTAAGATTCCATGCCAACAATGAGATAGCCTAACAGTTAGGGAAAGGGAAAATATATTACGGATTTGCTTTTATAGACTGACAAAAAAATTAGTGGAGTAGGTTAAAACACATACAAGGAAGCTTCATATAGCTTTTCTTGCCTGAAATGAGTGGGAGAGGGATTTCTCAATCACTGTACCCATAATAGCCCACAATGGCCGTCCCATCCCACCTCCAAAAAAAAAGAAAAAAAAATTTTCAAAGGTTGGCACATCCAAGGAAGACTTTCTAAGCTTGCCATCAAACTTCACCTTAATATAAAAACCATGCAGAAAACCTTGACAGGCACAGTTTTCCTTGCATCTTTATCACCACCTATTTTTTTTTTTATCCTCACCCGAGGACACTTTTCCATTTTTTGTTCAGATAGAGCGGGAGGGAGAGAGAGGAAGAGAGAGAGAGAGAGAAACATCGATGTGAAGGG